CTACTGTTAGCTCATGATGAAATCCCTCAACTAATTTTGTAATTATTTCCCTCTTTTCTCCAAGGTTGTGTATCCCTGGTCTGACATTTTCGTACCATCCGTTGACTTAACCCTTATTATTTGTTTTTATTCCTATTTGATCGCTAATTTTAATGCTTCTCTTTGTGGTTGTCTGACGAGATTGGAAATGTCTTGTTTTACGACTGGGAATTTGTTTTCAATCAGTCAAGTTTGGACCTGGCGATTTTGACGTAGGGCTGTCCATAGTAATTGTTGGCACGTGGTTCTTGCTGACAGAGATTTGATCCCACCTTGTTGAGAATATTCTTCTTGATTCTCAGGTATTTCTTACGGTTGATTTCGGTTAAATAGTTCTGTTCTACAGTACTTGTTTTGTATTGGAAAATTATCTGATCTGTATAGTTGCCTAACAGCACTGTTGAGACAATTTCGAGTCTTTGATATGTTATAACTGTTAAGTAATGCCACAGATTTGATCTCATATAGCTCTTTTTAGAATTGTAGGAACATTTTCTTACTTCACGTAACTCGAGAAAGTTCTGGTCAGATATACAGTAGAATGCCAAAATCGGTTTCCTCCGTTCAGATTATAACACATGGATTTTAAGTATTAAAACTAGTGAGTATTTGAAGTATCATTTGAAAATAATTTATCTCTAAGACTCAATGATTTCAAAGTATTTCATATAGTGACTGGGATGGTTCAAAACACTCAAACGTTATCTACAATGCAATGAAGTAAAGTCTTAAATTCCGTCAAGTTGATTTATTACTTCACAGCAGCAACTGTGCATACTACTTACATCTAACCGTTAGAAACACAAAAGAAATATCAAACTGATCGCCCACCTTAAACTATCAGCTTCACAGGAAATGCTGAGTTGAAAAGATTTTCTCTAAGCAGAGATGCCAAGTGTTTTAAATGTTCTGTCATACAGAATAAAGCTCCGTACGAGTTTTTTGAAGATATTCGAACTGAAGTTTCCCAATACCGTCATAAAAAGTCGTAACTATCTCATAGCAAAGAATAACAACTTAAGAATGGTAATAAAGGTCTCTCCAGTTGCTAGGTGGCCTCTTTGCCAGCTCAGTTGTAGATTTAAGCTGGTACTGTACAAGCTGATCACGGCAGTTGATTTCACTTTGGTAATCCAAATGGTGAAGCTATGCAATACCATCTCACTTATATGAATATGTTTCAACATCGCTTATATCAACCAGTAGTGCTTGCTAGTCACATGGAAGCGATTTAGACACATGATGGTTTTAACACTCGTTTGAGGTCAAGGTCAACTTAGGGAACGCAATGAGCACAAATCATCTACTTGGTCAAGCTGGCAATATTTTAGTACGTCGGTGGCACAGTGGTTAGGACTCTCGCCGACCATGCACATGGTCCGCGGTTCGAGCCCGCACCGACGCACACCTGATATCTATGGTCGGCCTGCGAAATTTGGGCTACCGATATCCATGCTGAAAATTCCATACTTGTACCGAAAATACAGTGTGGAATCAAGCTGTATATCAAAAATAAAAATAAAAAAAAAAATAAATCACATTCGGAGTATGCAAATTGACTCGCAGTTTGGAAATGACACAGATACAGTTAAAACTTCAACAATATTTTGTTGTGCGTGCTATCGAATTATTTATATCATTTAATTAGTAGTATGTAGCATGATGAAGTTATGCTTCCTCTCTTAATTGCAATTCACAGTATCAGGCAGGTGGTATATTGTGCTCCGAATAATTTCAGTTTCCGAATGAAACTCTAATGAAGTTTCACTTTAAACTTTGTAACTGACAAATCACAAATAAATTTTAAAATGGCGTATTTGATTCAGTTAAACAAATTTTATCTAGAGAAAGAAGAATAGTGTAAGAAAAGTATAATTTGTTTGGGGATATAAATACATTTTCAGTGATTTACATGGATAACTATACGTCTCTATTACACTTCCGTCGAAAGAAGCAAAACAGTCTACGTCTGAAAGAGTACATCGTTTGCTAAAGTGAATTTTCTTGAGAACGGTTGAATTTCAAAAATAAGAGTGCATTCTGGTAAAATTTCCGATAAACCTGCATAAGTCAGGTGATTACACTTCTAAAATTGTTAATTTAGTGTATCTGCCAAACATTCCAGCATAAAATGAGTTCCAAAGTGTTTTATGAGTTGACGTATGAAGCTTTAAAATCTCTTGATACACTGGTGTTCAGCATCGACCATCTGGCTCTCGTTTTTATCAAATTTATGCATCCATTAATGGTTTTCACAAAGAGTGTACAAAATTTTCAACTCCATTTATTAGTATATGAGACGATACCGGCTTTACTTGAATTTTATGAACACGTCAGCTTTCATCTCTTGACGAGCTAAATATCTAATGTCTTTGGTAAAATTATCTTTTGTAAGTGGTATTTTCTAGGTTGCATCGAATTCATGCACAGATGACTTAACAGGATAATGTAATGAGTAATTAACTAAACAAAACTATGGACAATGTTATTAATCGTAATCAGTTACGGACTTAGTTATCATTTGTAGTCAGTCATCTGTATGAAGCTTTGCATCTTTAGTCTGATTTTGACGTAGTTTAGAGTTGGTCAGTAGATTCGTTCAAACTAGCATACGAAAAGCTAAATCAAGTGCTTGTCATGCAGTAATGTGTGTGTGTTGTTGAAGAGTCACAAACTAGGACGAAACAGCTGTTCACTACTCTCTGACTCTCGTTGGTCCTCAAACTGATGTCGGTTCGTAATCTAACCTGAATGTGGATAAAATCCTCTGAGGTAAGTAAAACTTGGTACACAGCTAACGAGCTTGGCCCCCGACTACTCATTTCAGTCAATCAGTCAACAATATATATTATCACCCTGTGTATGACAAGTTATTATTAATAGCTTTGGGGTAGAAAGTAGGGCAAACAAATTCTCTTAGAGACTGCTTGATTTCGACGGCAACGGCAGATGTGACAAGAAAACTAGAAACAACTATATGGATAGATTGATTTCATTAAAATAGGCCACTTTCAACTATATTTCTCCTAACAAGAAGAAGTAGTGACTGAAACAACGGATGAACAACTTCAGTAAAGATTGATATTACAGGTTCAAGTTTGATTACGGGTTATAATTAGTTAAAGAGTCATTGAAAACCTTCAGGGAGTACTTTTTTCATCCATATCCCACAGCACACACTAGTGACCTCCCCAGAGATCAAATGCAGGAGATCTAGGTTATTAGGTGACCATCTCGCCACTAGGACACAATCTATTGACTAATACTTGAAACCAGTCGAATCCTTATAAACTAAAACTTGAAAACAGAAGTCATTATGTGTGATAACCTCCATAGAGGACTTATTATTATGTAGTATCTCTTCTGAATTCAGAGACGTTAGCCCGAATACAACATTTAAATACAACTATGCGTCAGCTGACTAAACTCTTATCTTTCCTCAGATCCTAAAACATTTCCAACTAATTTTTCACCTAGTCTTTTGACAGTTCTCGACTAAAATACCAATCACATACCATTTTCAGATATGCAAGCGAAAAGCAACAAGTTGGTAGAAGAAGCGTCGAGAGAAGATAGGACTCCAAGTAAACATAGAGAAAACAGAAGTGATAGAGATTCCTGGGCAATATTAACAGCATTAACAACAACAGACAACAATCAGCCAGCTTAAACAGGAGGAACCTGAAAGAAAAAACCCATTTTACCTACCAGGGAAGCATCGTTTCAACTACAAGCCAAGGGAACTGACGAGGACATCAAAGCAAGGATTGGAAAACCAAGACTAGCTCTCATTACTCTCAAGTCTGTGTGTACATCAATAACACTCAGCATGAGAAATAAGATCCGGATTTTCAACTTCAATGTAAGGTCAGTGCTACCATATGGATCAGAGATTCGGCGCCACACCGCATCACGAAGGGCACTTCGAACAAACTACATACTTTCATTAACAGCTGTCTTCGCTCAATACTACTCGAGATCAGATGGCCGGCCAGAAAAGATCAGCAACAGTGAGGAATCTCTGGCAATGAACGAATCAACCCAGGGGAACCGATTGTGCAACAAATCTGCAGGAAGAAATAGAGGTGGATTGGCCGTACTGTGAGGAAACCATCAAGGGACATCACTAGACAAGCCATTGCTCGAGTGGAACCCGAAAGGGAAACAGCAAGCTATTCGTCCAAGAATGACTTGCAGGAGGTCATTTGAAGAGGAGATTAAAGCATGTGGGTAGACCTGGAGCCAGATGAAAACTTTAACAGAGAACCAAACGCTATAAAGGGGTCCAGCTGAAGCCCTATGTTCCTCTAGGAATTAAAGGAAATAATAATATTAATAAACCATTACATTAGTCTTTCACGATTATCAAATAGTCACAAAGTTCAAAACTTTAGAACTACATATCTTTTAATGAAATCATCAGTTAAGTGATAATATTTATATAAAGTTAAGAAAAGACACAACATTATTAAATTATTAAGCATCGCTGAAACAGTAATGAACGCATATATATAAAGCTTCTAATTGTATTATATATTTGATGAAAAGAAGACACAATATTTTTTAGCCAATGCATACATTGAATACGACTAAAAGCAAAGAGGAAATGTGACACATTAGAAGAGTGAATAGCTTTCTTTGTTTCTTATCTCGTGTACAGGTTTACTCTTTTCTCAAAGTTAAGTAGATCTTGGTGTGGTGTTCAATGGATTTTCTCAGAGATAACACGCCACACTATACAAAGTCAAGAGGCAATATCACACAATATTAATAGCAATAGTAATAATATTAATAATAGGAATTTAGAGGTAAACTGGTGCATATGTATATATATGTTTATATTCAAAAAGTTGAATACTGTTCAAATAGAATAGTAATAATAATACTGGAATTTTGTATGAATTATCTGTATATCACTATTATTATTATTATTAATCATAATTATGAAAATGAAGCCATTTTTATGGCATATTTATTGTATCACTATTATTATTATTACTATTATTCATTTCAAATAATAAATATCCAGAAAATGTAGAATACATATAACCGTGTAAAAAATAAGCTCCATCACGAATAGCTAACCATGCACGATCCCCTTTATACATTTGTAGAATGCCTTGATTTGTTGCTGTTGCCCAGGGTGAACTTTCAGACCAAACGTCGAATATTTGTTTATCATTATGCATTAAACGTACAACAGCCTAAATGTTTCAATAAAAGTAGAAAATTTGAAAAAAAGTATACCAAATAATTGAAATATTGAATAATATAATGTAATAAGGAAATAACATATACCTCAATATAGTAGAGTCAGCCTTGTTAAAAACTATTCCTAGATGTGATGTGCTAAAGAGTTGAGATTCAAATTGGGAGACAAAGATGTATTTGGTTACAGGATTTCATTAGGAGCTGAAAATCAGTTAGAGCACCGTTGGAAAACCTGCACGGGGTACTTGACAGCCAGCTGTTTCGTCCTAGTTTGGGACTTTTCAGAATTACGCACCCCACAGTGATGGTTCGAACCCAGGACCCTCTGATTACAAGGTGAGCTTGTAGACCGTTAAGCCACTGGGACCCGGTTGAATGGCCAGGCCATGAATTCAAACTTCTGCTAATTCACTATATAGCGCGATCACTAGCCAATGCCATTGGTGGCGAGCATTTCTCCTCACACCCGACTTAGCTTGAAGTAAGTGTGTGAGGCTGGTTGACTTGGATAGATAAATAAATAAGAGCTTTCAGAATAACTAAGGCTTTAGTCGTAGACAATGGAGGTTTTAAGTAAACAGTTCTAGTTCATATGAAATTAAGAAGTGATATTGAAATATGTTTTAGAAATCACGTCAAAATAGTATTCAGGTGCAACCGAATAATTTAGAAATGTTAAAACTAGACGGAGAAGTTTGAAAATAGTGATAGGTTCAATTTCAAGCGGAGATTTATGTACAGAAGTAATAAAACTTTATCAACTACTGTACTCCATACTTTCTGATTAAAATCTCACTACCAGTCTAGTCACAAGAATAAATGAATTCTTACTTCTGGTCAGCAGAATAAGTCAACTAATCCCGATCAGATTCTTGTTAGAAGATTTTTCATCTCAAGGACAGTACTCAAGTGCGAGAAAAAAAGTTGTCATCACAAAATTGATTAGTTTTTAGAGGGGAAGCTCTATTGAGATTATCAGTCTATTTGTCTTTGTGCAGGTGGCACAGTGGTAGAATGCTCACCAACCACGAAGGTGGTCCGGGTTCGACCCTCGGCCGACGAACTTCTTTATCTCGCTAACCCGGTGATAACACCAGTAAAGAGAGAAGGCTGAGTATGAAGTTAACAACTCAATCCCGTAAAAATAAACGCCATTGCTACCGAAACTTCAGGCCTCTAACTTGAAGCCCTATGTTTCACTGAGAACATAAAGGAAATGAAAAAATCTATTTGTCTGTTCAAAGGAGACTACTATAAGCATAGTGATTTGCTAAAAAACAATTGAAATAAACCGTAGAAAACATTTTGCAAATTAACTCAAAGAGCTAAAATTAAAACTGGTCTATTGAGTTATTATATGAGTTAACATTTTAAATAGGAGAAGGATAGAGATTAATATACTCAGAGAAACTTCATCAACCTCAGGATTGAACAAATGTGTCTGATTTATTTGAAAATCGTTACTGACTATCAAATCGTATCACTAACTACTTAAGGTTGGATGAATTGTGAAATTATCTCAAACAATCTAAGGCTGAGGGAGTGTTATGAATATGATTGCTAATAATTAGAGCTGAAATGAAAATATGGATCATAGAAAGACTCGAACCAACAGATTGACGAGCTCATCTTCAAGAGTCACCTGCCAATCAAGTCATTATTTCACTGAAATCACCATGAGCAATGCTCTGAAGTCATGTAAATGAATAATACTTCCATGTATGTTACATTGTATAAATCAGTAGAGAAGCGGAAAATACAAAATGATTATCATAGTAATTAGAAGTATCAGCTTAATTTAAATCTACTCAAACCAGACCATTGGTAACAAAATGACTCTGAGAGACAGAATTCTGCTTATTCATGCATTTTAAATTCTGATATATATTTCAGTGGATGTGCATTTGTAGTTTATTATACAAGTCTAAGCAAATAAAGCGTTGGTGGTTTAAATAGTAGGATGCTCTCCAGCCACGAAATATGTCGAGCTTCGATTCCCAACCAACACGCTACCAAACCTTGCCTAACCAATAGCAAGCCTGATGAAGAGTAAAGATTGGGCTTACAAGGATAGTAAGCTCACCCTACTAGAATTTCAGAAGCGTGGAGCTCTGACTTTCACTCAAAACTCAAAGAACGGAGGATGTTTTCCACTGTTTGAGTGTTTAGCAGTCAGAAGTCGAAAATATTCATTCTTCAGATGCCAACCATTTTGAAGTTATGCGTAAGGATTTTCACCGAATTCAAATCTTTGACATTCTAGTAAGTATCTTCTCACACATACAATTACCAAGCCTCTTGATGAGACATCCGAGATCGGTTACCGAAGTAGACTGAATATAAAATCGTTTCGAAATAAAACCCAATTTCCGTCACAATTAATACCTTCATCTTTCATTTGTGACAAAGCCATATCTGTCCCTGAATTCTGAAACCAAATTTGGTATGAAAATGTCACTATATCCATCAAATTTTACTTTTGATTTATGCTGCTTCATCAATAACTTTTTTCTGAAGTTGAAAATAAGCCAAACGCTTCGCGCATACCCAGCCATTGCCTTCTTCAGTGCTCACTGTTAGTTGACATAGGATTAGGCTAAAAAGGAGCTAGTGGTGGTCAAACCAGAACTTGAAATCAGTCCATAAAGTCCTTGACAGTCACTCTGAGATACGCAGGGAAGCGTAGGCTTCCTAGTTGTGGTCCTCGGGATTCAAAGAACCAGTGGATGGCGACAACTGATGATATGGTTTAAAATAGTTCTCAGTGGCTAGTGCAGATGCATTCCATAGCCACTAAACTATCATCCTTTTCCCTGACATATCTGCTGATTGCAGTTCTTTGAATCCTTTTTGTTTTTCTGTGTTTTGTCCACCTACCTTTATGGGCTATATGCAGAGTGTTGTGACAACTTGAATTACTGCACTTCTGTGCCAATTTCTACGCTGAAACTCAGTCAGTCAGCTAGCTCAATTAAACTTATTAAGTATGAGTCTTTCAACATAATAAAATGTTGACAAATTATTTGAAAATGTTTTAATAGACACTTTACTGATTTAATATACATCTTGAATCTTGTTACATTATTCACTGAATCGGGAACAAATACAAGGTGTAGCACAAGGAACTACATCCAATCGCCCAACACTTATTTTAAGTCAGTCACTGCTTCCGTATAGTTCAGAGACTTGTCGAATGCATCAGCGATAACACCTCTAGGAGGTTGCCAACTCCCATCTGCACCTGGATTTGGTCAATACTGAAAATAAGAAAGGATAATCAACAAGGGCCTATCTCCTAACAAGTGCGCAGAAGAAAGTGCCCGTAGATTAAACAAATCTGCTGAAGAGATTTCGAAATTGACATCAAACGCCAGTCAGTCCATTAACTGGAATTCAAATTAGAAGTGACAAGTTGGACGTGGATCTGAGAGGTGACTTAGTGGGGATCATTCGAAGAACAAATAAAAGATCTTAGACAGTTTAAATGCTAGATAAGAGTGACGGTAGAGAACCAGGTGGAACGGAAATATGCTACTCAGTTACAAATGTCTCAGAATTTCATCGTGAGCTGACATTAACTAGAGAACCATTGGCAAACCTGTGAGTAGTGACCAGCGGTTTCGTCCTGGTCTGGGACTTTTCAGAAGTTCGCACCTACCGGGGTTCGAATCCAAGACCTTCCGGTTACAAGGCGAGCTCGTATACCATTAAGCCACTGGGACCCGATCCAGTGGACAGCCCATGAATTCTAACTTGTGTCAATTTACGACAAAGCGCGACCCTGGCCAATGTCTTCGGCGGGTATTTGTTCTCACACCCGACCAGCTGCACCCTAGTGATGACGACTTCTCACTAGAACCCGTTGGGTGAGTACTTCTGAAGAGTCCCAAACTGGGACGAAACAGCTGTTCAGTACTCCCAGGTTTACCAATGGTTTTCTAGTTAATGTCAGCTCACGATGAAATCCTGTAACCAATCAAATCCCTACAAACCAATACTTGAATACAAATGTCTTATTTGGAACTCGTCTGTTTAAAAACGTCAAAGCTTTTTAATTTTACCTGCCGTAGTTTTGATTAAAAACAACACATTAAACATTATCCATATTTATGATGCTGTATGGATATTACTAGTATATATTTAGAATTTAGAGGTGATAATGAATATTGATGTACTGCATACATTTATAATTATGTTATAAAATGTTTAGTGTTAGTAAATTACATGAGGGAAACAAAATTTAATAATTATAAACAATTTTATTAATCGAAATCAGTGTTTAGTCTGATCACATGTATAAGTTGAATTTAGTTGTAAAACTTTAAGGTCATATAAATTCGTCCAAATTGTATGGTCATTTGTTGGCAGTGATCTATTTTTAGAAAGGTTGCTGCTTACTGTTGTTGAAACATTTCAGGTCATCATCTCTAGCCATATATATAGATAAATATCGATATATGTGTATACATGTACCCATTCACTGATCGAAATATCCATCTGTTTACAACTCGGTAATCTAGCTAAGGTTGTAGCCTACACAGTTAATTTGTGGTCAGTTAGATTTGAGGTTGCTGGGTTCGAGTCTCAGCAGTCACATCATTATTCGCTAAGGATGCAGAAACATCGAGTTGGCGATTTCAAAATAAGGACGTTAACTGCTAGTCATCGCCTATATATATATATATATATATATATATATATATATATATATATATATATATATATATATATATATATAATTCCAAATGTAGGATTTTCGTCACGAACTAACATCGGTTAGAAAGAGCACTGGTAACCAGGAAGCACTGTGTAGCCATCTCTTCCCATTTCGAGACTCCTCAATAGTGCGTACCCACAACTCCTCTAGGGATCAAACCCAAAAATCCCCACAAACGCTATAATGCAAATATCAAATGCCAGCTCACTGTTAGATGTATTTTCTGAGGCTGTAGTTGGACGTGGTGACCGGTGGGATTCATCATATCACAGTTAA